TATTCATGACGTGTTATGTAATTTATTACATGGTTGCAATTATGTGATCTATTTAATTATTCACTCTGGAGGAATTGATTGATTATTTACTAACTTGTATATATAAAAAGATTTACCATTCTCCATGGTCGAGCCACTGTCTTAGCAATTCGATCGGTGGTTGGGCCCCGTAAACTTCTTTCAGCGGCATTGAGAGATCATCGACGAAAATGATCCACCGCTTGCCAATGGGCGCGCCGTAAACGCCCTTTCGCCTTCTGTCCAGTTTGCCCATGATCGTATCTTGGGTCTGATTAGCCGTGGTTTGCGCGGAGAAATTAATGATCAACGGCTTATTTACATCGGGATTGTTCTTCTTCAATAAAAAGTCGACCACGTAAACCGACTTCCCGGTCCCGGTTGGACCAACGAATAGCACCGGCTTCTCGTTGCTCACTAATAGTCGAAACAAAGCCGTGTACCGTATCGTTTCGACCGTGGGCACTATTATCTGATTCACGGGGATGTCGCGAGGTATAGGAGGACTGTCCATTAATTCGTCAGACCATAATCTCCATTTTCCCTTGCCCTAATTAAAAACAAATACCTTTAATAATTTCGCTAAAAAATATTTATTCATTATTAAACTGCGGATTCTATTATATACTCGTGTTCCCGAAAGTCTAAGATCGAGCACAGTTCAGTTTTTGATCGTTCTGCGCATCTCAATGCTTTACTATGTGGAGGGAGTTCGCTGCGACCCCCACCACCTCCGAACCTGCGCGAAACGGTCTTAGACTCTCGGGAACACGAGTATAATTTTTCATACGACTTCATACTTCTTTGATGAATCTGTAATCGAAAACTGAGCCATGCTTCGGCATGATGAATATATACGGTTTCGAAGGTGGTTGTATTGGTTCGGGCAGCTGAAACTCTTCCATTAATTCTGCAGGGAATGTTTTCTCAAGGAACCCTCGAAACAGGAGACTGTAACGTTCCCTGGATTTTACACTTAGGACACCGCCTAGTCCCCAGATACACGAGAAGAAGAATGAGCCCTGAAAATATACCCCATGGTCTCTCAATTTTTCTTATTGGGTAAATGAATTTGAAATGAAATGTGTTGAACCTCGATTTGTGCTCGTAAGTCCAACTCGTCCATATCTTTCACCGCTTTCTCGTCACGGTAATCGTTCAGGAAGCAGTCCATTAAATATGTCACGGCACGTAGGACGTTTGAAGTTTTATCAGGAAGTTCGCTTCTCCCCGCGTATCCGGGGTTCATCGTAATGAAAACGGCACAGGTCGGATCCAGACTGATATCGGTCCCTTCGAACTCCAGCCGCTGCTTCCCAGCGTTTATAGCTCGTTGAATCGTTAAAATTTGCTGCGCCACTACTGATAACACTTCCAAGTCTATTCGATTGAACTCATCGAAGCAGGACCATGCACCAGTGCTCGCCAATCCCTAAACCAGATTTTCATTCGCTACGTATATATAGGATGTCCCAGAAAAAGTGTTAGAGCCGAATGTGGGTGATTCTGTAGGTGTTTCTCAACAATAATTTCCTTGGCAAAGTGCAAAGTGAGGTGTGGTTTTTGAATTATTAACGAAAAACACTGACCAATGAGAGCGCGCGTAAGGCCTGCGCTGACCAATGGCCGAGCGCCACGATCCAAGCCATCACTGCCATGGTTCAGCGCGGGCCCTACACTTATTGTTTAAAATAAAGAAATATCTACATTTAAAGTAGACGTTACGAGATTTAACTTAAGAGAAAAATCGTCGTCTTACTATAATTTGTTTTTGATTAATCATGTTCCAATTTCGCGATGCCATAATATTTTTTAATGTAAAATAATTACCTTAAAGAATTTACCCAAGGCGATGTAATCGAGACCATCGGAGCAGTTGAACACAACGCACTGTTTCGCTACTGCCTTGGCTAAATCCTTGGTAGTCTCGGTCTTTCCGGTTCCGGCCGGCCCTTCCGGAGCACCACCGAGGTGCAAACTCAGTGCGCTGAACAAAGTTCGATAACATCTATCGGTTAACGGCGTTATTACCAGCCTGGACGTATTACCCAGGTACTCGTACGCGTATTTCAACGATGTGTTTATCATCGTCGTCCACATATCATCATCCTGGAATGATGTAAAAGAAATAAGATAAAAAAGGATGTTACACGGTATAACAAAACAGTATACTTGCGGTCCCGAAAGTCGAGGACCAGGCACAGTTCAGTTTTTGATCATTCTGTGCATCTCAATGCTTTACCGTGTGGAGGGAGTTCGCTGCAACCCCCACCACCTTCCAAGCTGCGCTAAACGGTCCTAGACTCTCGGGAACAAACATTGAAGTCGATTTTCACGAAACCGAAGCTGTGGATGGAAAAATGTTATACTAAAATATTTTCTTCTTTTTTAACGTAGAATCATCCCCAGTTGTACTACGATTTCCGGTCCATCCCGTATAGTAAATGACCCAATTTATGTTCTAGCAATTTTTTATCTTTTTATATAT